AGTTCGCCCCAGTAGCGCCCCAGTCGGGGAGCGGGGGGGGGCCGCTCCGGGCTGGCACCGGCCCCGCGGCACCAGTTCAGCCCATTACGGACACTGGTCTGCAGCAGCCGGCCCAGCTTGGCCCGTCGGCAATGGCTGGGGAAGGCCGGCACGGCACGGCACGGCTCGGCACGTCCGCACTCGCCGACACGGCACTGGTCTGGGACCACGTCACCCAGTTCGACCCATCAGCACCCACCCGCACAGCACTGGTTTGGGACCACGTCACCCAGTTCAACCCATTGGCATGCACTGATACAGCACTGGTTTGGGACTACGGCACTGGTTTGGGACCACATCACCCAGTTCAACCCATCAGCACCCACCCGCATGGCACTGGTTTGGGACCACGTCACCCAGTTCAACCCATTGGCATGCACTGATACAGCACTGGTTTGGGACTACGGCACTGGTTTGGGACCACATCACCCAGTTCAACCCATCAGCACCCACCCGCATGGCACTGGTTTGGGACCACGTCACCCAGTTCAACCCATTGGCATGCACTGATACAGCACTGGTTTGGGACTACGGCACTGGTTTGGGACCACATCACCCAGTTCAACCCATCAGCACCCACCCGCATGGCACTGGTTTGGGACCACGTCACCCAGTTCAACCCATTGGCATGCACTGATACAGCACTGGTTTGGGACTACGGCACTGGTTTGGGACCACATCACCCAGTTCAACCCATCAGCACCCACCCGCATGGCACTGGTTTGGGACCACGTCACCCAGTTCAACCCATTGGCATGCACTGATACAGCACTGGTTTGGGACTACGGCACTGGTTTGGGACCACATCACCCAGTTCAACCCATCAGCACCCACCCGCATGGCACTGGTTTGGGACCACGTCACCCAGTTCAACCCATTGGCATGCACTGATACAGCACTGGTTTGGGACTACGGCACTGGTTTGGGACCACATCACCCAGTTCAACCCATCAGCACCCACCCGCATGGCACTGGTTTGGGACCACGTCACCCAGTTCAACCCATTGGCATGCACTGATACAGCACTGGTTTGGGACTACGGCACTGGTTTGGGACCACATCACCCAGTTCAACCCATCAGCACCCACCCGCATGGCACTGGTTTGGGACCACGTCACCCAGTTCAACCCATTGGCATGCACTGATACAGCACTGGTTTGGGACTACGGCACTGGTTTGGGACCACATCACCCAGTTCAACCCATCAGCACCCACCCGCATGGCACTGGTTTGGGACCACGTCACCCAGTTCAACCCATTGGCATGCACTGATACAGCACTGGTTTGGGACTACGGCACTGGTTTGGGACCACATCACCCAGTTCAACCCATCAGCACCCACCCGCATGGCACTGGTTTGGGACCATGTCACCCAGTTCAACCCATTGGCATGCACCGACACGGCACTGGTCTGGGACCACATCACCCAGTTCAGCCCATCTGCACACACCGACACCAGTGCTGCCCTGTCTGCAGGCTGCACCCCGAGCCCGGGGGTGGCTCACCGGGACGGTGGGCTCACCGGGACAGTGGGCTCACCGGGACGGGGGCTCACCGGGACGGGGGCTCACCGGGACAGTGGGCTCACCGGGACGGTGGGCTCATTGGGAGGGTGGCTCACCGGGACAGTGGCTCACCGGGATGGGGGCTCACCGGGA